TCACCTAATTACTGCAGCATTTAAATCCTTTTTTTTCAGAGCAGCATCAACTGTGTGCTTTGATTTTCTAGGTTTAACCACAGGCTTTACCTTTAACACCTGATCAGAAACTCATCAATGATTATAGACTGTGTGTAGAGACAGACACTTCATCAATCAATCAATCAACATCAACACTTTCTCATCACTGGGCGGAGGGTGGTTGTGGGGTCAACCTTTAACCAGATCATCATGGGTTCGACTGTATTCGTTTGCTGATGAATTTTAGATATCTTATCCTCATCACTGACTCGTCACACTTCAACATGAGGAGTCATGTGACCTCCCTGCTGGTTTCAAAGTCCACTTAATGACGTTGTGACCAAACCAAATCTCATCTGTGTGTCATTCAGGGACCGTTAGAATTCTCCCCTCACTGCACCGTACGGCTCGGCTGGTTCAGGGACCGGGTTACCATCCACTCATTGTTGTAGCTGTTTTACTCTCATTATCTTATCAGATGTCACTGTAGCTCGCCTTTGTTTGCTGTTGCACCTGAAGGCGAGTGACTCACTGTGGTGTCCTGTTCCTCTTTTGAATCAAATCAAACTTAATTTGACCTAAAATGCAGCTTCGTTTCATTTCCAGCCTGGTGTAAGTAGTGAACTTACTCAGATATCCTCATTTCTAGGCCACATGACAAATGGGACAAATTCAAAAAGAATGACAGACAACTGTGTCTGACAATTTCTTTTTCTAATTTCATTCTGGTCATTAGCTTACAAGGTCAGCTGGTACAAACGTGATTACTTTGTATCCTACATGTTCAACATCCAACATTCTTCAGATGCAGATGAACAGAGACACTGACTCTTTATCTTCGCAAACTCCGTCTGTGTAGAAGTCTGTTTCTGTGCCAGAATCTGTGTCTGTGTGTGTGCAAACTTTTTGACAGATGAGCAAACACAGTTGTAACGGACTTGTAGTTTTGATCAGTGCGGCCTTTTAGATATCTGAGCTCCGTCACCCTCTGTGACAACAGTGAAAATATCTGAGCAAAGCATCTCAACGGGAAGTTTGGACGTGAGGAAATGTTGCGAATCGGTCTCAATCGTGTGACCTCGTCAGTGTCCACAGGAAGTCTTCTTGTCTTTTCTTTTCCTCTGTCAGTTTTTCCATGGCCAAACACATTCAGACAGGGAGCGAGAGAGGGAGAGGGAGAGAGTGGGACAGTGAGGGAGATTGGGGATTGAGATCTAGGGGCCCTGTTAAATCTGTGGCTTTGTGTTTTATGAAAAGAGTAAAAAAGGGATGTTGGAAGTCAGCATTTTCCACCAGGCAGGAGAATCCAACAGTCAGCACATAGATGCTCAAACTTCCACTGAGTCCCTGCGTCTCCTGGTGTAAGGCTGAATGGAAAAGAGGCTCGGCAGCATTTGTGTGTCGAAGGAGGAGACTGTCACCGAACACGCTTTTTATTTGTCTTCATATTACATTTTTAATTAAACACCTAAGGAGACATTTTTAGACTAGTCCATTTGATGTCAAAACATCAAATATGATCATTCACAGATCAAATGCAACAAGACTAATGAGCCATGCGGCTCAGGAACCACAGGTTTCAGAACCGTGGCCCAGGAAAAGTTGGGCTCGAGTTCCTCAACAAAGTTGTAGGTTTTGACCTGAGAAGTTTTCTGTAAAAGAGAAAAATCACTAATCACAAATAAAAAAACAAAAACAAAAAAACAAACATAGCTGTGGAATCTGCTCAATTTCCGGATCCTCTTTCCTTGTTTATTTCCAGTTTTCCTCCTAGTCCCTCCCCCAAACCAGATATAATCCCTGTTTTGTCTGACTCCACAAACATTTGTTAACAGTGACACATGCTGTGCAGACATCCATCTGCAGATTGACAGGTTACGGCTGCCTGTTAGTGTTGGAGTCCATCGATCAAAACAGATCAGGAACGGAGATCTGTTAAACATCAGTGTTGTGAATACCAGAGCGCAGCGGCTAATGCTAACAGCCTGTATGCAGACACCTGGGCTTAAACCATGTGTGCAGCTGTCGCTGGGTGTCAGAGGTGCTTTCACACACCCACAACCCTCCCAGGACCCCCCCCCAGACAAATGCCCAGGGAATTCAGGGCTCCACTCCGAGGTTAATGTACAAGGGTACGTCAAAAGTTATCATTTCCAAAGTCTTCCTGTTTTAACAACCTAAACGACACAGGTCTCTCATATCGCCAACATCTTTATCATTATGTTTACACTGTGTTAGAATTTTATTTGATCAGGGTTTAACTCTTTTTTTTCTTAAATGTCTCTAGACGAGGCAAAGTTAATACTTTATGATGCCGAGAAAAAAATAAATGTTTTCTTTCTTTCTTAATTAACTTTTTTTTCCCCATATGTCTTGCAGTTTTTCGGCAGCTCCTAACTGTACATGTCTCTCTTATCCTCCCATGGTTTAATTAAAGCTGGTGATGAATGTTTTACCACAGGAGCACACAGACCTTTTGTCTGCAGTCGTCACCATTTCAGTGAACTTTATCCTTCTGATCTGCGTCGTACAGTCTCTCATATTACTCTGTGGCGCCACATGTGTGCGGTTTTCTGTGCATTGTTGCTTGTGTGTGTACATTAGAGTATCCTTGTGCACGCCTTACGCTCATGTTTTGGTTTTTCTCCCTTCCCTCCATTTTCCTCCAATGAGGTTTCCTCTCCGTTGCCTCCCTCCTTTCCTCCATTCTCCACCCTCCACTTGTAGATGGAATAGGAGCCTTGTGTGAGTGTGTGTGTGTATGTGTGTGTGTCTGTATGTCTTGGACATTTTTTTTACAGCTTCAAAGAATTTCCTGCAGGTCACATTAAATTCATATACAGTCCCAGAGAAATACCCTCATACCATCATCAATAAATAGGGTCAACTTAATGACATGAAAGGTCACAATAGAGATTTATTAGGTTTAATAAAATATATTTTGTATTTTGTTTGATCCTTTTTGCTTTAACTTTGAGTAAAATAAATTATCTTCTGGTTATTCTTGTTATTACTTATTGTTCTTTCTATTAAAAACAAAGTCAATGGCTTATGAATCTAAGTGAATTTGTCACTTTTACAGTACATGCCTTTTCCCCCTTCCTCCAGCTCAGACAGGGAGGGACTATCCTTATGTGTCCCCCCCCCCACCCCCCCCACTGCCACATGCTCACACACAACTGTGGCCTGCTTCCTGTCGGCGGGTACAGACTGTTTTTACTGCAACTCCATTTTGGCAAAGAAGCCTAATTCCTCTGCTGTCTGGCTCTCTGTAAGTGTGTGTGTGTGTGTGTGTGTGTGTGTGTGTGTGCGCGTGCGCTCGTGTTTGACGGGTGTGCATGCTCACATGTGCTTTTCAACATGTTTGTTTCCTCTGCCCGCCCAGTCTGTCAAACACTGGTGGTACTGCAGACCAAGGTCTCGTGTGCACATACACGTGCAGTTTCATACTTTTTTTTTTTTCAAAGAATACTTGAACTGAGTGTGACGTGTACACTGTAAAAAGTGCAAGTGCAGTTTATCAGGAATGTGCTCTAGTTATTAGGCTGTAAACCCGCCTCAGAAACACTGCGGTAAAGCTGTTTAGTTAGAAGCCAATTGAACCAACGACCTTGTCTTAAAGTTTTATTTTTGGTAGAGCTGATTTAACAGTTCATGCTGTTCGTCTTTTCTTTCATGGACAAATAGAGCAGTAACCCAGAGAGGCAGCGTCATGACAGATAAGTGATGTCGTGATGTGGCAGATCAGGGCAAATATTAAATGATGCAGTGTAGTCAGTGGGAGGAGGAGACATCAGGGCCAACAATGAACCTACCCCGTGTACCGTGTACATCTGATAATAGTACCACTAGTACTGCTCCATTACTACAATTACATCAAAATCTACAACACACACAAAGGGCAAGCAAAAATATAGTTGAGTATGACCTCTGTCGATCAATTTCCCCACATTACTTACTAAGCAAAAATATAGTTGAGTATGACCTCAATTTCCCCACATTACTCGAGGTTTACCAATGGAACACATACCATAACTTGAACACCACTGATATCTAGCTTGAGCCTCTCAGCTGATAACAAACAGCCATCAGTCTATATTGTCATAACAAAGTATCAGCCTAAAAATCAACCTAACATCAATTTTCTGTGGCAATTTTTTTACATTATTATTTGTTTTGTTGACATCTCCGTGAACCAGCATCCACCAACACTAGGTCACTGAGACTGTGTGTGTCATTGTGTTCATACCAAAGACGGAACAGAGCCCAAGCTTCTCCTCTGAAGGTGTAAACACCAGACCTGTTGGCAGTATCAACAAGTCATAACCAGGGATTATGGCCTTCAATCACTGCAGAGTAAATACTGAATTTCAGATACCGTGTAATTCTGCATATAAACACACTCCACCAACGTGAACAGACAGTAACCACAGTTGTGTTTCATGGTTAAGAAGCATTTGGCCGTCATTTCAGGGGAATTTGGAAAGACCAATTCTCCTTTAGTGACAGTTTCATTAGACTACGTCTGATGGTGCATTTCTCCTGTGGGTTTATTCTGATACTGTGTGTTTATTTCATAAGAATCCGATCTAAACAGATCTAAAAATAGAACATATATAAATATATATTTATAACTCAGCAGTAATAGTGCAGCATGTAAAAAGGATGTTGAACCCATTTTTGTTTCCTTCAACAGGTTCAGCTGACGTACTAGACCTCTGTGACCCAAACATCACCAAACACCTCACAGTCACTGCAGACATCCAAACAGCCTGACCTACAGGCCAGAAACAGCTGACAAGTTCAACCACACAGAGGCAGCCATGTTGATCATCTTAGCCTTAATCATTCTCTTCCATCTGGCTTCAGCCATCCTGCTCTTGGTAGCAACCATCCACAGCGTAAGTACAAGCCATGAGTGGGGATCTCACACCTCTGGAGAGTTTCTGTTGTCCTTCACTGTCTGTCCTTGGTTGTTTGCAGGCGTGGTGGGTGGTGTCACCAAAGGGACAAGAGGTGATCTTCACTGACCTGTGGTACTCCTGTAACTCCACCTGCCTCCCAGTGGCCAACAGCCATACACCTAACGCAAGTACGACGGCTAACGGCTCTTTGATGTCTTCATTTGTGTGTACTGTAAATGCCTTCTAAGCCCTTGTTGTTGTCTTCTGCCTCAGGCTACCTGCAGGCAGTCCAGGCCACCATGATCCTGGCCTCCATCCTGTGCTGCATCAGCTTCTTCATCTTCATCCTTCAGCTCTTCAAGATCAAACAGGGAGAGAGGTTCATTTTCACCGCAGTCATCCAACTATTGGCCTGTAAGTGAAACTCATCAACCATCTACCAGTTAAACTCAAGGGAAACTCACTGAAGGTATTCTGATCATTTGAGCCTAATCTCAGGTTAAGTTGAGTAATAGAGGGTGGGTATAAGTATATATACTATATACTATACTACAGATTTAATAGACACACGTTTGAGAATTTACTGATTAGCTTCAAAGAAGTATTGAATTAGTTAAATTTAGAACCGAGCAGCTTCACCTCGTGGTTGTGCCTTTGTTGAGTTTAGCAACAGGTTCTTCAAGTCTATTCGTGGTTGTTTGGGCATGAAAACCAATATTGAACTATCGACTGCAAAGGACTAGTCTTTGATTTGGTCCCTCTGTCCTTTCCAGGTCTATGTGTGCTGATTGGTGCCTCCATCTACACTGCTGAGAAAACGTCATTTCATGAGCAGAGTCTCAGGGAAGGCTCCTACGGTGCCTCTTACATCCTGGCCTGGATCAGTTTCCCTATGACGCTCATCAGCGGCCTCATGTACATGGTGCTCAGGAAGCGCAAATAGGATGGGATGCAAAATCTCAAAATATTCAAATCTACAGAAAAGGAACACTTGGACAGAAATGTTTCATGAATTACATTTTCCCGTCAGACAAGTCTGCACATCCTCCATGCCCTGTTTGAAGCTTTCATAATAATTAGCAACTGTGACTAATGTCAAATTTACTAAATGTATTCTTTGTCAAGTCTCAGGTTTAGCGGCAGACGTACTCACACACTCCATATCAATATCATCATTAACACGTCTTTTTCCTGGTGCTTTTTTTAATTCTTAATTATTATCATGGTTATCCCAGTAATGCAACAACCACACAGACTGCGTTTGTAATTTATCAGGTGCCTGAAGTATGAATGACAGTCGACGAAAACCTCTTCTTTTATTTTTGTGTTTTACATGCATGACATTTAGTATAGCACAGAATGTAAAATCCAAGACAGAAAAAAACCCCAGCTCACATCAATTTCACCAATGTCTGGTTTTGAATTGGACCTGCAGGGCACACAGCAGTTTGGCTGGTTTGCATGAATCTGAATTCAAATATATACCATGCAAATGCACTCACTCACTCACTCACTCAACAGACTCCTGTGACGACTACATTTGATTAGAAACGACCCCCACTGCGCCTCAACGTTGTGATTTGTTTTTCTACACATTTACAGTATCGTCCTCTTTAAATTCCATTTAGTTTAATCAGGATTGTTCTTGTGAAACTATTGACAAAAGAATTTATTTTGTACATGCTGTATTTACTGTGTGTATATTAAAGTTATAGACTCGTGTTAACGGTAGAGTAGAGGAAATGTAGTGAAGATAGAGATCTAAGATGTAGGGTTTGACTCCTTTGTTTGTAGCCTCTTGTTGATTTAGATTTTTTTTCTGAAGGAAATAATGCCCTATCATGTGCTGTACGTATGTAGTATTTGGGATTTAAAACTGCTAACTGCAAACTATTGAACTATTAATAATGGTCAACTGCTTCACTGAAGAAAATGCTATTTATTCTTGGAAACCACTGTTTGTGTTGGAATTTGACACAGGACGTATGAAGTAAATAAGTGTCTTTCTCTGAGCTACTGTTTATTTGGTCCATTACATCACATTATGTCTGTTCCACCCTTACAGACATCAGCTCCTGCATCTCACAGCGATACATTTATCGCTGTATTTTGTTACCAGAAAATCAGGTGAAAGTATTTGCAGTGTATACGTGTTTGATCCCGGATTAACACCTGTAGCAACAAGGCAGTTTCTTTTTAATTTTTTTTTTGTAATTGCTCAGTTTAGGATTAACACAGTTGTCATTTGTGCACTGGACTGTGTATTAGCAAGCATTGTGTTCATGTGGGAGAAACTTTGGACCACAAAACCTGTTAACTTTTATTGGAAATGAAGATTCAGAGGAGAAAAATGAAAGTGAAGAAGTAGCTCTGTTTTCTCCAGATGATACTTGAAAAAATGATCAAAAGAAACTATCGCATGCCAAAATGCTGTTTCCTTGCTGTTCATACTGTAGCTTTTGTGTTGTTGCCATTTTAAAAGTGTTAAACCTGTTTGCATGCTTGCTTTTTGTTTGGTTTTAGCTAATTCTCTTCAGCTTAGTCACATGTAGGTTTTTGTTTTCCAATAGGCTGCAGAATGTTTGCTAGAATATATGATGTCATGATTTCTGTTAAATTTAGAGCAATTCTGTATTGATTTTATCATTGAAATTAAAGTTAATTAAAATAAAATACAAAAACCCCCAACTTGAACACAGAGCATACACTGTTGCAAATATTCAACAGCCTGTTGTCTTAAGATTTCATATATTAGACTTCTTTTTGTTTGATTTTGAGTTAGTAAATGTTTAATAGTTGTGATGCTATCCCTCGTGTATTTTATATTAACCTAGTTTAGATATACCCCCGGCCCGTAATGACATTTTAGCCAAAATTAAGTATTATTTACACATTTCAGTCTCATGTTGCTCAATAATGGAGCCATGTCAAAACAGTAAAGTAATGCTTACGCTTGTCTATTTAGTTTCAAGTATATTGCTATAGACAGTGGTTTTCAAACTTTGTCTACTAATGACACCTAGTGGCCTGACACAGAACAACACCATGCTAAGCCTTGTATGGCTATCGAGTAAGACGCCTTTAAGATCTCCTGCTCGGATCATGCCATCTGGAAACATTGAGAAATCGTAAAGACTGCGATAATTTGAAAACAATGATTTTACCCTTTTGTTTTAGAGCTCGGTAAATGTCTTTTACAGTAAATAAAATGTATTTGTGCCAAATCTGCAATCTGCTCATTTCTAATCCTGTCCATCCTGTCGTCATTATCGTGAGAATAAGTGGCATATTAGAAAAATACGTTCAGACAAAATGAGGACCCTAGAAACTAGGATGGTCCAATATAGGCCTATTTTCAATATTCGTGCAACTGCATTCATTATATAGGCCTATTTTCAATATTCGTGCAACGTGCACAGTACACTTATCCTGCATTCATTAGGACCATTTTCCGCCTTGTCTCATGTGCAACATTATAGCCAATCAACGAGCGACGTAATATGTTGTATTACGTCGCTCGTTGATTACGCTAGGTAAAGACAACGGCGACCGCGAAGGCATAGTCACAGCGATGCAATCAAAAAGCGACGTGCATTTATATTGTATTACTGAGGCAGATTGTTCCGAGGCACGGCAGAATACACATCGAGTACGTGTGATAGTTATCCCCCGAATTGGATAAGTTTGAGCCGCTGGTAAGACTCCACAACATTCGATATCACCGGCGACGGTCCATCAGCATAGCACTATGTCTGCCGTGTGGAATTTTTTTACTCTCAAAGAAGAGAAAAGCAAAACAGCCGAGTGCAATATATGCATCAGGAGTGTCCCAAGGGGCGGCAGTACTATTAATCGTTTCAACACCACCAATTTGATTAGACATTTGGAGATACATCACCGAAAGACGTATGAAGAATTTTTACTGTCAACCCGTGTTATGAAGCAAATGAAGAAAACAAAACGGTCATTGCAGCGACCCATTCTGAAGCACAAGGAAGTCTCTCCGGTGAACGACAACGTAAAGGTGATAACGAAGAAAGCAATCGGAAATATGTTGCTAGGTGGTACAATAGTATTTTATTTAATGATTCACTTTATATTTTAAATAATTTAAATATGGGGATACGAGGCTCAACCGAGCTCCATTTTTCCACTTGACAATGGTTATTTTACTCATTTTATTTATATAATATAGGTACGTTGTGGGCTATTCTGTTTTTGCCTTTGAGGGCAGATTATATGTATTTATATATATATTTTTAGTCTATGTTGAGTAGACCCATACCGAGTTATTGTGTTATTTACAAAGTAAGATAGGCAGGTAAAGGTATCGGATTCGATAAGTATAAACAGAACCGTGTTGCACTTCATTTATTTTGAACGTTTGACAACAGGATAAACAGGACTTATTTATCCTGTTAAACTGTTATTCCTTCAGTCCAGTAGGTGGCAATAATACAGCAGTACGGTAGTTGACGCTAACTAAGAAGGGGGAACTGAAGAAGAAAAATAAGGAAACAAAACAAGACTTCGATTATGTTGAAAAAGAAGCGGAGAAGTTTACTTGGTATTTACACCAATAATGGAAGAAAAATATTGATTTGCGCAGATATTTTACAATCAAATTTAAACCTAAGCGTCGTTGGCGTTAACGGGAAAATATTAAAACATACGTCCGCAAAACGCTAATGACGTGAAAGTTATTTTTTCTGTTGGGACACTCGTACTGCAATAAAATGGTAAAGTTAACAAGGACCCGTGTTTAGGAACTGTTTGTTAATAACAATAATCAAATATTATAACCCATGATGTAGACGGGATTTAATGAAACCGCAAACTGTTATTTTTAAGTTGCTCATACCGTCTTTGCTTTCTGTCTCTGTTAAAACGAAAGACAAAAAGGACACGAACAACGCCAAGCCCTACAGGATACCTAATGACAACAAGGTAAGACCTGACATTAATATCCTCTGAATAATACAGTTAAAACCTACACGGGAACTACTGACAGAATTATAACACGACTAAAGGTGGACCACATGTTGGTGTGTTGTCTTATTATAAATGGTTTAGCAGTGCCGTTTTAGTGCAGCAGTAGTTTATCAATTTTTCCCCTGGTGATAATGTAAAATACAAAAATCGTTTTTGCAGAGCACGTCAAGATAAACAGAAAGGCATAAAACCTAGCATTTTCTGTTAATATTGATGTTCTATTGTTTTCTGTTTCTATTTTGATGTACTTTGCATGAAGCATGAACAAGTCTCCCCCCTGGTCTTCAAGTGAATCTAGTCCTGAAACGCTGATACTCTCCAGGTCTGAGGTAAGAGATGTTTAGTGTGTGTGCGTGTATGTATATGACACTGATCTGCAACATCACAATGTTTTTGTACTGTCGTACAAGTCTGGAATGTGTTTTTATATGGGTGGTTGACAAGTAACACAATTATGACTAATGTTTTTTTTTTTTTAAGAATTCATAAAAGATGTGTAAATGATGTTACTCTGACAAGATATATTACAACAATACCAATGTTATTGGTGTTTCTGGTTTGATCCAAACCTTTAAAATCTCATAAGATGTGATTGTGTATGTGTGGTCTTAATGAAAAGAGCATATTTCCAAAGAAATTACAGTAACAGTTCACAAATTTTACTTATTAAAAATCACTGCTGCCAAGTCACATATTACACGATAAATATAAGCTAGATGTTTTTAGTTGTCTAATAAATACATTTTACTAACCAGAATGTCATAAAAAAACACACACAGGTGCGGAAGCTCATTGATCAGGAGGTTAGCTTTGCGGTGAAAAGGCATGAAACTAAGCTGCGGGGTTTAATCGAAACGATACAGCATTTGGATCATAAGATTGACTATGAATCCTCCATTCAAAAACTGGAGGTAAGTGGAAATAAGTATGGTAATACGATAAAAGGACAGTTGATGTCATATTTTCAACAATAGTTCTTTTCCTTCTTTTTCTACATGTTTTATATTTATGTGCTGCTTATCTCATAAAGTGTTTTTATGTTGTCCTTAAACATTCAGGATTTACCCACTGTATCTTGACAGAGGAATTCATATTTTTTAGGCACGAATGAAATTGTTGTCAAAGAGAGCAGAGGTGGCGTTTGCCTACAAGACACGGACACAGACAGAGGTGGGACAGAGAACAACAGAGGGGAATAACGCTCTATAATTCATGTTCAACCTGTCATGCCCTCAGAGGGGCAGCTTTAACTGCACTGCAAACACACACTAACCCCTTTAATAACGTTCCTACAGGTTTCAAATCCTTTTCTCAACATTAGCACGTCCAGGTAAACCTAACCATTATAACCAGGTACAAACCACGCAGGCTGCTGTGTTTGTTGTTTAATAACATTTTATTTTATTTTTTTTTTTTTACTCTCAGGCTAGACCCTGAAGATGAATGTGGAGGCAACAGACCAGACAGTAAGAGCCTTTTAATCACCTGTTTGGATTAGGTTGTTTTATAAAAACAGAGAATAATCAGCTTTATTTATTTAAAAGGACAAAGGAGGCTGGACTGCAAGAAGAAGAAGAAAAGAAAGCTCTCTGAAATGATGGTAAGTACACAGTTTAAGGGGGTGATATTTAAATGCATTTATATTTTAATTAAACTCAATTAATTTAAATTGATTTATATAAAATTTGGCATAATTTATTATGCCATATATTATATGGTATAGTCAATGGTCGTATTTTGCATCAGTTGACTCAGTGTTTTAGTGTCTTCAGGAATTTTATTGCCTGTTTCTGACAAAACAAATCCTACAGTTAGTGTCGCTCCTGTCTTTGTCTCTCATATTAAAATACCTCCAAAATGCTGACCTTGATGACCTACTTAAATAGCCTACTCATGAGGGCTGAACAAGCAAAACACTGACTGGTGTGCTGTTGGTTGTCATGTAAAGCTGTTACGGAATGTGGGGTCACTGGATCGGCTCATGTTTTTGAGTAGTAAACCAGTATTTGAAATACTGTATCGGTATAGCTGCATCCATAGTTGAGATCTGCGCAAAATATCCTTTTATTTTGATGGAGTGTGTTCAAAATACAAGAAAGTACTGCAGTCAGTGTAGTGTGTTGTGACCTCCATAAAAAACATTTAAATTTTGCATTTGTCTTGAAGGTAGACTACAGTTTGTCATCTTTTTTCCAGGAAACAACAGCAAGGGCCTTAAATAAGTTGCATGCAGTAAGAAGAGGTAAGAAGTTTGAATTTAATTATTTAATAAAAAATATTAGAAAACAACTTTAAGTTTTAATTAACCTGGTATTTCCTTTCTTCTCTGATGATGTGTGGTTGTCTGTAGACGCGAAGGCTGTCATCACTGATCTTGTCAACCCAATACAGACCCTTCAGTACTCCTGTCCTGAGATTAGTCCATTTAAAGTGTTTGAACATTTGGTAGGACATACCAGCTCTACTGTAAATGTACTTCTTTCATTGTTTTGCAGATTTTGTGATTTTGTTTGAGCCTTAATTTTGCCGTTTCTTTTGGGTTTTTTTGCCAGTTCATAAAGGAAGAGCCGAGAGATCCAGAAATTGATGCAGACATGGCTGTGGAGCCAAGAACTGTGTTGAACAGAGACTTTTTTTCTGCTACCAGTAGCATCAGTTCCACCGACACAGACATGGGGGGGGTAAATGTTATTAGTCATATGATCTAACTGTTCATATCTGACTGTTTTTGTTAACTCTCCTTTAACAAGGAGAGTTAACACTCACTTTTTTTTTTTTGTCGTCCAGCCTAACTACGAGCGCTTATATCCTCCACTTCCCACCCTTCCGTTCCCCACTACTCTGAACATGGAAGCGGCTTCATACAGTATTCCTCAGAAACCAGTAGTGCACGTGGCCTTGGTCAAAGACCCTGCAGGTCTGTCTGTGCTGTGGAAGGTTGAGAAGGAAGAACCTACTGCACCGCCAATGGCTACGTACAGGTGAGAAGCAACAAAAGGTGTAAAGAATTAGTTGAAAAGTCAACGTTTCATTCTAAAAAACAACAAACAACCTTTTATTGGATTGGAAAGATGAAAAAAAAGGAGAAGAACTGAAAGAGTTGATGAACTTCAACATGAGAGGTGAAGACAGGAGCGGGACTGATTTTGGTAATTTCTTTTCTCTCTATTGATACAGCATCTACATGACCACTGAGAAGAGGAAGGGCAGCAACATCTTCCTGAAGTGGTCTTTAATCGACGAAGTGAAGGCCTTCAAGCTGCCCATGTGTGTCATGATCACCAAGTACAAGCAGGGACATAAACTCTGTGTCTCCCTGTTGGGCAAGGACATTTTTGGACGCTACGGACCCTTCAGTGACGTTGTGATTGTAAACATTCCCGAGTAGCGCAGAGCAGGAAATTCAAACACGGAACAAAAAATACATTCTGGAAGTTAAACTCTTGTTTCAAAGTGTTTCACGGTTGAAAGCAAGCAAATGAAGCTAACAATTTTCAATACAACAAAACGTTTAACTACACTACGCCTCTGGGGCCTCCTGGTGGCGTGTTCTGGTGCTATTCCTTTTTTGTTGTGTGTATTGTATTTTTCTCACTATCTGGATGTTGAATGTGCGTCTTTTGTTAAATAAATAATAAACATCCTCTGTCAACTATTACCAACATCTGCTGGAAACACTAAAGGTTAAACTACCACCTAGACTCAGCTGTGGGGGAAAAAAAAGAAAAGGAAACCACCAATATTTTCAGTTAAACTACCACCTAGACTCAGCTGTGGGAAAAAAAAGAAAAGGAAACCAATATTTTCAGTCATACACACGCACACACACACACACACACTAAACATCAAATCTCTACTGACATTTTTGCTGTTGGTGAAGTGTGTTACCATTTATTTTAATGTGTTTTAAAGAGCAAGTGCTTTGTTGTGTCGGGGTTTCATGAGTTCATGACGTGAATGAGAAGTGGGTTTTCAACTATAAAGGGAGTCATTAGACCCATATTGGATTTCTGCTCCTTGCCACCAGCAATAGTGTGTGTGTGTATGTGAGGGAGAGAGAGAGAGAGAGAGGATGGAACACAGAAGAGAGACTGGTCTTCCAGGACCGCTTAAAAATCACAGGAGTCATATTCCACACACACACACACACAGTGGTCTAATTAGAGCCAACACTGGATGAAGAGAGAGGGGTTACAAAGAGAGGACAAGAAACAGGAAGACAATAGTTCTGAGAAACAACAACAAAAAAAAGGGGGGGGGGGGCATTGGATGGTGGAAAACTGAAAAGATTTACAATTACAATTAGCAAACACAGAAAAATTAAATAAACCAATCACTGTGTCTTCCAGCAGCACAATGACATCAACCTCATCAACACTGATAAAACGGCAGATTGAAACCCCAGAATCAATAGAATGCATGACAAGTAGTGGAGACAGGACACTGATCAATATGTAGCTGATGAGGCGCGGGTTAGTTGTTGTTAGTTGCAGTTGTATACTGCATGAATAAAAACTTTATTGTGACTGTTCTAGGCTGCGTGAGGACACTGACTGACTGACTGACTGACTGACTGACTGACTGACTGGACCCAGCACATTCTCAAACTGCTGCAACGCTAGTCAAGCTAATAACAGAGCCAGTGATGTTAAGATAGAGCAGGGCAGCACACAGACACTTATTGGACTGTGAATCAAGAACAGTCGCCTCTAAAATCTGCTTCCTCTCAGCTCCAGGTGTCAGAGCATCATCCTCTTTCACCTCCTTCTGCAAAAGCTGGAATAAGTCACAAAGAGAAATTTGAGGGTAATTATGACTTTGAGCATGAGCAAGTACTCACACTGGGCACAAACCAGAGGAGGATGATTCCAGAGAGACAAGAAAGCCTATAACTTTCTGCCACCAGCTATGTCATTTCCATCAACATTACAGTGCATTTAATGGGCCACACTGGGCAAACAGGGAAAGCTGTGCCTATTTTGGAAACAGTGTGGACAAGGTGCACTAGCCTAGGGGAATAATCTGCCTCTGCATCAGCAGTGAGAGACTCAAACCACAAGCAGACTATTCAGAGAGAGCTCTAAGTCAAGTAAGCCCTATTAAATTATAGAAGAACCTTTCCTCAGATGCTTCACGACCGAGTTTATGAAATAAAAATACCAGATATCACAAACTCTCGCTAGAAATCCATCTTACACGACCAGCCGTGTGCACAAAAACTGCAAAATATAAAATCTACTTCCACGACAGCTGCCATTCTTCATGGTTATTTGCTAAATATCCTCATGTTGACACCAAGTGGCTTGGAGACATTTGTATCTGTCACAAATGAGAAAAGAAGTGACATACTGTACACCGACTCAAAGAACTCCCAATCCAGTCATGGACAAACTGCAGCCAATGGACCAGGTATATCCATGGGACTATCTCATCTGGACAGTCAAACAGTATTACACAGTTGTCCTTATGGTAAAAACGTCAAACAGTATTACACAGTTGTCCTTACAGTAAAAAAATGGTTTGTCATTTTTATGCAATGCATTCACTGCATTTCATTTGATACCACTAGATGGCAACAGACACAATTTATCTTTACTGGAGTGTGCCTGACATTACTTCTCCCAACCACTGCACCATTTCATCTACTTGGTATGACATACAGTGAAACGAGCTCAGAGAAACTGCTGATTAGGTGTTATGGTGAGTTGTATTTTGTTGGTCGTGTCATTACATTATGTTCATTTACCATACGCTGAAAACACTGCAACCAGGGTTACACAACTAGGTCCAATAGGAACATCTTTCATAACAACAGTAAGAACTGACCTCCAACTGAGGAAAAATGTGTTTATTTTGCACCTAATGTATGGCATGTATAAATTGATTTTTTTTGGGGGGGGGTTGAAGGATGTTCTAACGGCGTAGCCACCCAGAATCCCCTGCACAGCATTATATGAACAGCCCTCCCCTGCTTGGTGCTCAGCTCCAGCTCACTCAATACTGTTGTCAAATACTTCCTTTAAGATGAATTTAACAAAAGAAAAAACTCAGGCCATCAGCGAAAGGTATCTTTAGCCCCGTCCCAGGGGTGAGGAGTGAAGTGAAGTGTACAGATTGTCTGCAGCCATGAAATCATTTTCTATTGTGGACAATGACAAATTTGATATGATTGTGACTAAAATACATTAAAGTGGTGGTTTTTTTTCGTTTTTTTCTTCTTTTTTTTTCTTTTATTCCGATGTTGAGCTTCCCTGCTTGTAAAAATCACATTTTGTGTGATATTTGCTGCGCACGCCTAAAGCTCCGGATCTACCTAAAGAGCACCGCTGCCATGTTAACAGGAGAGAATTGCAGCTGATAAGGCCATGCACCACACGTCTGGTCAAATGTCAGTCGTTTTTTCTTTTCGTTTTCTGCGGCTTCTCTGTCGTTCTGTAACCCGACAGCAGATTGACGTCTCAGCCTTGACGTCTGAGGCTGAGCTTTAATCACTCGGCAGATGAAGGAGTCGAAGGAACACAGTGGTATTTATGCATGTAGTCATGTAAGTGCAGAGGACATCAGAGCGCCCCCTCTGAGCGCATGTCTGATTGTCTCCAACTATCAATTACATTTTTAAAGATTCCCTTTGTTAATTTAATTTGAAGTGCAGATGTGATAGTGGTCTGTAGAGAGAGAGAGAGGGAGGGGAGAGAGACATCTGCTTTGCATACAGCTCCTGCAGCAGTGAGGGAATACAAATCTCAGGACTGCAACTTTAACCATGCATGTACCATGTTTGATTGATCGTAGTGCAGCTGATCTAATTTGGTATAAATTGAAAGGACAGATCAATATCTGCAGTCAGGGGTAAAGGGCAAACAGAGGGATTAAAAAAAGAGGAAAGAGGTTTAAAAGCAGCAGCTGAAACAGTTAGATAGAAGTATAGAAACCAGGAGTTTCCTGAAGATGGAAACTGAAATACAATAAAAAAAACTAATCTATTTTAGTGTGTAACATTAACAATATCAGCAAGGAATATATTGTCACATTGTGATTTTTTGAAACTAGAACATTGTCAGTTTTTAAAACTGGTGTGTTGGTCACACAGATGTGTCTGTTATACTTTAGATTATAAAAAATACAAATATTACACACACACACATGCTGCTGCTCATGTGGTTATCCCCTCCCCCCCCACTCCTCTCACCTCCACCACACACTCTCTCTCCACACTCCCTGACTTCCACAATCTGCCACTTGTCACTTCCTCCTTCTCTGTAACACATCTGTATTGTGTTCATGACAACACACACACACACACACACACACAGTGTTGTGTGACAATATCACCATCTTTGTCATCTATATTTAAAGAAACAGCCCCTTTTTACCCACGCTGCTTTGCTCCACCAGAGACAATAAAACAGGAAATAAACCGTATCAACAACGATCTCTGTAGAGAATATCATTCATTTACATTACACTGTATATTTATTGACGGGCTTCAGTGTGAGGTTGGATCCAGCTGATCCTGACACTGATACAGTGTTGTGTGTTTTATTCTACTGCAGTTCAGTGCCTCCTCGGAGGTACTTTACTTAAGTAGGTCAACAATGTCAGCACTTTGGAGGTATTTTAACATCAGGAACGACGACAGGAGCGAGACCTGCTCTAAGATTTGTTCCGTTACGATACTAACAATTTAATACGACACCTGAAGACCTGTCTGAGCGCTAAACATGCTAATGTCTCTGCCTCCACAGTACGGAGGTTAAATGAGGTGTTTCCACCTCACCAAGTGTCACTTTCTGTTTGAGACTTATTTAACTACATTTTGTGCATTGATTTGTTTCATTCAAATGAAAAAGACGCTACAGATTTGAAGAACCAAATCACGTTTGATCCTTAATACACAAAGCCCAGGCATTTTTGCCGCCCCACGAGCCAGAAGTTTGACCCCCCTTGTTTACTGGAAAGCGAGAGACAGTTTTATATTTAGTGACGACAATGTCAGTGTGAAGAGTCCTTGGTTTAACACAGAAATATTTGTTTGACTCTTGGATTGAAATATCTTTCCGCTAATGAGACGACAGTGAAGCTGTCTGTAAGCACTCGTCTGCTCCGTGTCCTCACTGTGGTTTGGGTTGAGCTCACACCTACACACACTGCACGTCGTCTTATTACCCACAGAGCTGAACCATCAGTGTAACACTGCCTTCCACTTCACTGCATATTCATTGAAACCCAACCTTGAGAGAGTATTCAGTATCAGCGGGTACACAAATTTGTTTAAACAGTGTATTTGTATTTAAATGTGACACGGAAATTCTACTAGGATCATTATGAAAGATACAGTACTACAAATTCTACTAGGATCATTATGAAAGATACGTGCAGTACTACAGTACAGAAAACACAGTACAGAAGCTGTTTTTTTTCCTGTTCTGCACATTGCACTGCAGTATTGCAGTCGCTGCATTCTCAGAAAGTAACAGCAGAGGGGGATGTTTGACAGGATATACTGTAACGTCAAAGACCACCCCATGGTGCAGACACGTGGGGTTCCGATTACGTATGTGTGTGCAAATGTTTGCACACACTTTTGTATTATGCATTTTTTTCACACCTTAATTGAGAACGATCACGTGACGCTCTACTTTGCTGCTCTCTTAGAAT